GGTGGCCCCACTAGCTGCCTTGGAGACACTGAGGGAGGTGGTGGACTTGGAAGTTTGTTCAGGAGATGTTTCTGCTTGTTTAACAAGGAGAGGTGACTCTGCTTCCACCAGTAATAGCCACAATGATTCCATACAAGTATGTTTCTAAGGACAAAATTCCATTCAAAACCTCTCCAAATGTCAGTCATAGACTTCCAGCAGTCCAGGTCCTACTTCTCTTTCAATATTAGCTTGGAATTTGCCAGGATACCAGCAGGATGGTACCCACGGGTGGATCCTGGCTCAATGCCAAATGCTCCTGAGCTCAAGCATGTTGAGTTTCTGCACAGAAAGCTCTTGAAAAAGAATTCCACAAGAAAAAAAAAGATGACCAACAAAATAATTCCATCAAGCCATTGAGCATAACTCTTTGCTTGTGACCATCCAACCAGTTCTTCATCCACTGAGTGGTCCATCCATCAAATCCAGGTGTCTCCAGTTCAGAGACAAGGATGTTGTGTGGGACAGCACGGACACATCTCCTTGTAACTGCACCGAGAACCTTCCCGCTCCATCCCTCAGCCCCAGTGTCAACTCTCTCATTGAGCTACTGATGATCTCAAATGCCCAAAGATCTCAAAAGCATCACCGTAACTTCAAGAAATCACAACTTGGTTCCTAAAAACACAAACCTTTGGCAGCTTCTACCAAGTATTTAGCTTTGAATGTGACCTCTCACACTCCACTCTCCAGGTTGGATGTTGACTCAAGGCACTGATGCTCCTAGAACACTCAGCACTCCTCCCACAGTAGTAGCCAATAATTCAGAGTAGTAACTGTCATTTGAGGTCAGAAATACAATTTGTAGGGTTTTTTTTTTTACCAGCAACAACGAATTTTACCTGATTTTTCTCCTCATCCACAATTATGGGACACAACCAAATGTAAAAGCCTTTAGATAAAGTCATCTGTATTTACTACTTTAAATCAAAATTAACTTTCCAAGCATTCCACTTAGTGATTAATTATCGATCACTGCCCTTATCCTAGGGCAAATGTCCCCTGAAATGCCATCAGCTACCTGAGGAAACTTGACACTGCACAGAGGCATGGCCTGATGTCTTTGTAAAAGCAAAAAACTCCTTTGAACTCCATCACGACTTACTGAAGTTCATTTTTCAGACTAAAAAAAGCAGTTTATATGCATATGAGACCAACATTTGAGAGCAGCAGCCTGGCCACTATCATTGTTTCCAACATTCTTCAGCAGAGCTAATAAGGCAACATCTACAATCACTTCTGAGGCAGAACACACATCCTTTCCTTAGCAGGACAGAAATGAGGACAGAAAAGAATAATTTTGACGTTTCAGAAGAGGAAAATAATGCCTTACCTTACTACATCATCGATGTTGTTCCTGTACACTCCTTCCAGCCTCTCTGCAGGAAAGCCCATAGCAATGATGTTTGGATAAATATCTGAACAGGCAAGTTAGGGAAATATTTGTGAAGCTTATGAAATATCTGCAGTAGCATCAAACAGACATTAAACATTATCAAGGGTTTAACTGTATCCAAGTCAGAGCAACAGCTCCAACCAACCCCATGGGAATGTGAAGATCTGAAAAGGATTATATATGTTTATTAAAAAAACGCCAATAATTATGCACCTCTGGGCAAATATTCTCCTTTCTTAGTCTGAAATTCACTTGGCAAAAGCAATCTGAGAGAAAAGAATGTAGGAAAAGTCCCTCTTAGCCAAAGCAAATCAGTGCTAAGGGAAAAAGGCAAGTAAGAACATTTTAAGTTTACATCTAGAGCTGATGCAGCAAAGAATTCACACCAAATCACTAGGAAATTAGTGGCATTTATTTTCCTGGGGGTGGAATGATAGATGGATTTGGGTTTTTTAACAGAACTCAAGACAAGAAAGTACTACCTAGGTTCAAAGCATTATTAGAAATGCTAATGGAGTGAAAAAGCTTCTGTGACAAGCAAAGCAGAAGTGAAAGAAGCAGCTCATACCCTGCTGCATTAACATACTCCTCCTCAAGCTAATTTTAGAAGGAGCCAGAACAAAGCCTGATATGTTTGAAGTTGGCCCTGCCTGAAACCAGGGGGCTGGAGGAGGTGATTTCCAGAAGGCCTTTTCAACCTGAATTATCCCAAACTTTTAGGAATCCTTTTTAAGCCCCAAATCCCCCAAAGCTCCAAGGAATAGTCACAGAATGGAAGACACTGCCCCAGCTTCCAAGATATTATAACTTCAGTTGCTTATCCACAAAGAAAAGCCTCAAGTAGGACACAAACTACTTCACTCCACCCTTGGAGAACTCCCACATGCTCAAGGCCTCCCAGCACAGAGCAAGTTGTGCATTTCCACTGTTAACTCCAACATTCAGCAAAACATTAAGGGCTGAATACACGGAAATAATGTTTTGTACTCTCAAGAGAACAAAAAGAATTAGGATTTACTGTGCTGTAAGCCAAGTATTAATAGCCACTGGTGTGCTCAGCCCATTCAACAGCTGATTTTGTGCAGACAATGAGAAAAATATGAAAGTATTTGAGAAAAACAAATAAATATTTGGAGTTGTCTTAAATCCAGGCACTGAAAGGGGTTTGGGGCTTCTTTCCAGTTCATTTTGTGCTTGCCCAACCCTAAAAAACACTTATATTGGAGAAAAAACACCCCAAACATTAAATTGCTTAACATTCAGAGCATATGCTAACTTCAAATCACAAACTTTGAACTTCCCCGTGTTTTACTCCCCAAGGAGTCCACACCTCTTTCATTAACAAAGGTGCTGTATAATTAGCAATGTCTTTATTTTATTACTTCCTCCTTGCCATGAGCAGAAGGAACTAGCTCTGTATCACATGCAGGTACTCTGGGCCTAGTCACAGGGAAGGACTGTAGCTTTCAGCTACTCCCTTCTCCTCCTTCATTCCAAGTTGATTCTCCCTACTCCCAATCGCAGCATTTCTCCTCCAAAGCACAGAACTATCCAGGTTGGAGGAGAC